CCTTGGTTTGGAAGTTGAGGACGTGCAACAGGACAAAGACATTGAGAGGGACCATTGAGAGAGACAAACCTACTGGATGTCTGATACCGTGCCAGTGTAAACTGGTGGCTTCAGACAGTCTGTTGTATACATTCACCACGAGCAAATCACCAGACCTAGCCTCTATTGTAGGACCAGGATAAAGACCTAGAAAGAATGAGAACGTTGACGTGCGCACAGGAAGAAAAACTGACCATTAATCGTGAAGACCGTTTTCTGCACACCATTGGGAGATAGAACCTCTTCCTCCAAACTAAGATTGTATATCCTGATAGCTTCTGAGCGCAAAGTATGGCTCGATGGAGACAGCTGGAATCTCGATATGTCTTCGTGCACAAGGAAGGCTGAAAGAGGTGTCCTCAATTTCAGATTGAATCGATAGAGGAGCACGACAAGCAAGAAGATCAGCGTAGCTGCATATTTCCAGGCGGGTGGCATGGCACGTATATTCAAATCAGATTTTCATAATTTATGAAGGTTATACTTGGGTTATACATTTAGAACAGCTTGAGAGAAACGTGCAAGGGGGACGAACGAACGGCCACGTGAAAACTAATTGCCGGGTCGGCATTTGTGAGAACACTCCAGTTTTTCTATCTTTCTAGTTCCTGGAGCTGAAGTTTACATGCCCGCTTCTCGAACGTGCTGCGAAGAGCATATGCCACCAGCTCTTCTCTTATCACCAGAATCCTAACGTGACTCGTATAAAAACTAGAATTCTTGACTTGAGCGTTGGTATATTTAACGATTAGCGAGTCGACATATATAACCTGAGAGTCACGGATCCACACTCCCCCAGGATAAGGATGCCTTCTCTTCTGAACGCTCTCATTGCAGCCTCTATGGCTATACTTACCTATGCAGACAGCCTGGCCGAAGTCGAACACATCGTATTATTCATGCAAGAGAATAGAGCGTTTGATCATTACTTCGTAAGTTGACGCACCTCTTTGCTGTGAATGTAATCGTGACATCTTGCCAAGGGTACTATGACTGGAGTGCGAGGGTTCAAAGATCCGAAGTGAATATCATCTCTACGTACATGCATATTTAACAAAACTGAATTTGCAATTCTCTGATAACTCAGCGTTCAAGTCAATTCAGATGGCCGCTCCGTGTTTTTCCAAAAGGTCAACCCGTTTCTCTCAAACGATACCGATTTTCTCCTTCCGTGGTACGTCGCCGCAGAAGGCGGGGAATTTATCAACGGCACACAATGTATGACGGCTGGATCGAACGGCTGGGCAGAAAACCATGCTGCGTTGGCTTCTGGACAGAATGCAAGGCATCTTCTATCTCTTCTGATTCTCGTCATGGTTGAACTTGAGTATACTCACAGGATCTTTGGGTTGAGGCAAACATGCCACAGTCATGGGGCCATTTCAGGCGGTCAGATATTCCTGTTCATTTTGCTATTGCCGAAGGATGGACTGTAGGGGATATGTACCAACAAGGAGTCATTGCTGTAAGTTATTCTACGAGTCATTCATTTACTTCATATTGCATAATGATATTCCTGCAGTCCACAAACCCTAATCGCGTTATATGGCAAACCGGCAGCATCGCGTATGAAATGAACTTACTTGAAAATTTGATTGTCCTCTCAGGCTGAAAATTATTTTTAGTGTCTCCGGAGGGAATGTAAACACTACGCAGGGCCCAGTGTTAGACAACAATGAGACTCCGGGATGCTCCCGGCTTACAATGAGGCTCGAAAATGGTACAGAGATTGACTCACCACAAAACTATAGTTGGTATGCATCTCTTTGTGCATCTCAAGTTACTCGTTCACTAAGGCGCGCTGTAGCTTTCCGTATGATTGGAAGACCGTAAGGCCGGTATTTACGAACTTGCGCAATTGATACAAGCATTGCCTTCAAATAGCTCCCAGAATATCTAGAGGATGCAGGTATCTCCTGGAAAGAATATCAAGCTTTCGACAAGTGCGTGTTTCTGAAGAATCTCATTATCTAGAGCTCAATAACACCGTTCGATAGTTTTGGTGACAATCCTCTACCTAGTTTCGTATTCTGGCAGAATTTAGCTGACAATAATGCAACTTCGGAGCTTGCCCAGCGAGGTACGTTCGGTCAGGGTATCGCATCTGCGCCATAACTTAGGGTGAGGTATGTAGGTCTGGCTATGAATGGAGGTGGAAATTGGCAAGGTGGGCTTGACCTGCTAAAGAAGCAAGCTTCCGAGTATGATCTATCCTCTTTTGCGATGGCCACCATCAAACTTTACTACATTTCAAAGGGGATCTCTACCAGCGGTCTCGTTCTATATTGGTAAAGCTTAAAGAATCATATCGCTTCCGCTTTTACTGATTCACAAGCTATTGATCCATACAGGACCAGCAGAGCTTTCTGAACATCCTCCTTACCGTCCCATTGATGGTGGATGGCTGCAAAAGGAAGTTGTCAACGCGATAGTCAATTCTCCCAAATACAACAAAACGATTCTCATCATCTCTTTCGATGAGACCGGAGGATGGGGTGACCAGTACGTTGACATTTGTACGTTTTTCCGAAGCTAAGACTCCTTGTTTATACCTAGCGTGATTCCTTTCACTTCGTATGCCAAATTCATTCATCATCGAGCCTTTCATTGTAGTGCTAATTACCCTGAAATAGACCTGAAAACACCCCAGGCGAATGGATCATCGTGAGCGCCTCTTTAATCTTTCATCCTCATTCTGTATTACTCTTATCCACCCTTCAGAACCCCTTCACAGGACAGCCTGCGCCGACTGGACCTGGATTCCGCCTACCCTTTACCGTCGTCTCGCCGTGGACCCGCGGGGGCGTGGTATTCACTGAGCCTGCAGACCATATTTCGCAAACGCTGTTTTTGGAGCAGTGGGCAGCTGCCAGGGTATATTGATTCTCTTTCAGTGAGTCAATCAACTTAGTTTCTCCCCAAACTAGGGCACACCATTCACCAACACGCAAATCAATGATTGGAGAAGAGAGCATATGTCCAATTTGACAAACATGTTTGATTTCGAGAATGTACGTGGTACATATATTTCCATCTTTCTCTAAATCTCTCACAATGACTTCCAGCCTGATTACTCTGCCGCACCGTTGCCTGATACTCCGCCGCCCCACACTGACCCTCTAACTTCGTTGCTTGATGGCGTACATCTCGTTCCTCTTAGACGAATAATGAGTAGCAAGCTGATCACCTGTTGTATCTATAGGATGTATTCTGTGAAAATACCTTTGCGGAATATATTCAACCCCCTATCCCGTATGGGCAGCAAATTCAAGCAGACTCCCTGTTTACGGAGACTGGCTTCAAAATTGTTCGAGGCATGTTCTAGGGTACTGACTGTGACACATAAACCTTACGTATAATTATCATCCACTAGGCTCACTCACAGAAGGCCGCTACCTTGTTATTGAATCTAGCACCAAGAACCTTGCTCTATCTTCGAATGACTCTTCCCTCGGTACTTCTGCGGCCACGAACGACAAGTTCAATACACCCTCTCAACGTTTTGTGATCCATGCTACCGATCCTAAGCTTGCGACAGGAAAGAGCTTTAGGATTTCCTCTGCTACATCTGTGGCGAACGCTAATGCTACTGCCACCAACGCCACCACTTCGTTCCTCAATGCGAATCTGCAGTTTGGTTCTGTAAACTCCAGTGCAGTATTCAACATCACTTATGGGGGCGGAGGTATTTATAATTTCTTGGAAACTGAAAGCGGCGGGTTCCTCAGTTTAGGGGATAACGGGACTCCATTATTGGGCAGGGAGGCAGAAGCTTTCAAGATCTTCTCCATTTCTTTCTAATGAAGCAGCGCAGAAAATATTAAGTCACCATTGGTCAATCAACGTATTTTTAGGCGCCGTTCGTGCCCTGTAAGACTCTGCGTGTCCGTTTACCTTTTCATATGGGAACTCTTCCTTTGAATTATGGAAAGGAATGATCATGGTGTACATGGTCTTTTAGTGCGTGGTAAGCGCTCATCTCTTGTAAAGCGGGGGTCATTTGGGGACAACCAGTACTATAAGATGCTGCATTGTCTTCCTCTCCTTCAGCTTCCTAACCTCTTATACTTCATCACAACACCATGATTGTTACGGACTCCTACTGCAGCAAGTGCAAGCTACAGTCCGATAAACGGATGAAATGCTCGAATTGCGAGACGGTCATTTACTGTGTGAGCTCATGAGCTCTTTATTCTGCTCCCACTGTCGCTGACACTACTTCCGGTAGTCAAAGAAATGTCAGAAAGACCATTGGGCTGTGCACAAGCCAATCTGCAGAGTTGACAACCCAGACGAGGTTTGGGGTATAAGAATCTTGTCGAATAACGCTGCTGCGAAGGCTGTATATCCATCACATTATTTCCGGCATGAACTTATCGGAGACACGAACCATGCAATATTCACTAAAGGAGAAAGATGTCCGGTCACTAAGCGTATCGGGATACCGTTAATCATCTATAGCACTGGTGTATGTGAGCGCCGCGCTACTGGCTTGAACGAGATAGCGGTAAAGCTAAGAGTGGAGGCAACCGATGGTTTTGCGCCAGATATGTGAGTGTTCATCAAAATAGTGGTTTCTTATACTGACAAACGCTTGATGGAATCGGAAGATGGCAGCACCAGCCTGGCGAAGTAAGAGTCAAAGAAACATTGGTTGATAGATGTCATTACTGACCTTGAACGGTATAGTGTCTTGTTATCCGAGAGGATCGAAAGCGCCTTACACAAGAGCTGCTTGAAACAGTGTATGGCTTTATTAGCCATCTCATGAGTTACCCCATCTTGGACGAAGGTTGGGCTCCGTGGAATGGGCTTTTGAACCCTTCCGTGTGGCAGATGTATGCGAAGAAATACTATGAAGAGCAGGAGGTTGCTGGTCGTGAGAGTTTTGGCCGATTTTCCCCTCTGGTTGATTAGCGTCTTGATGTACATAGGATACCATGAACACCCTAATTGTTGTTGCCCCCGTTGTCTAATGGTTATGACGTCAGACTTCTATGATGTGTTCTAGATTGTAATTGAATCTGGAGGTTGCGGGTTCGAGTCCCGCCGGGGGTTAGCATTTTTATTACAATTTTATGTTGCAGTTCTTGGCGAAAATGAAAATCAACAATTGCAAGGGGAACATCATGATTATAGGACTTTGTATGGCTAGTTCGCCTTATCCTCGGAGACGGCCGGATAGCTGACAAATAAAAAGGCAGCTGCTGAGTTGGGATACACACAGACAGACGGATGACAAAGCCCATCTGGTGTCACAACCAGGTGGCCCTAGGCCGGCCTCTCATCAGAGTTGCGCTCGTAGCAGGCACCTGATATTGGTCACATGGGGAGGTGGCCCCCAGCCCTAGCCCCCACAACAAACACCTACACACATGCATGTGGTCCCCAATGCTATGCCGATGTTACGATCGGATTGGGTATCATGTGGTCGCGGACCATGTGACATACTCCACCCTGTGATTAGGGAATCATGATCTGTCAACGCAAAGTAGAACCAAGCTGGGTTAGGGCAGCGGTTAAGCCCTCTGATGAGCCCCTTCGCAAGGGCGAAACCCGCTACGAAGTCCTTACCTTTCGGGTTCGAACCCCAAAGCTGCCAAATTTCCTTTCAAGGAATTCAGTCACGTCTAACACGTGTTTCGCTCAGACCGAAAAGCTACCAAAACTCGGCATACTTGATAGTTTGGAGAAGATGCATCATTGAATAAAGGGGAATCCGTTAAAATTACACGCATGATGAGCACAGACTCATGGTCGGCCCTTAATATGTTATTTACAGTAAGATAGTCGTGCTTCGTGCGAGCATGTCCAACTTGAACTTGCGATGCCCAAACCAAAACAAGAAGGAACCGAGGGACCCATTTCAAAGTTTCACACTTTTTCCAACGTCCCTACATGGTGCTCAACCTCGTCGACAGATCCAGAGTGTTTTTTATCCGAGTCATGTTTGCCTGCTGCGTGTAGACCTTGGCCGAGAATTTCCTTCGTTGCTTCCTCGCCATCGAAAATGGCGGCTGTTTCTTCCAAGGAAAGGTTCTTTGTCTCGACCACGTCTGGAAGGAGAGAAAAGGAATTATTAGTATGAATACTAGGCAGAAGGTGTAAGATCAACGTACATAGATAGAGGAAGACACATTCAAAAGCGATCCAGCAACAATAGACGATGTAGTATTTCCATTGAATAGCGGCTGTCCATGTTTTGTTAGATTGAGTCAGGTACAACACGAGAAACTCACCAAGAGCGATAGGGTTGGCGTATTGGTTGAAGATTAGAGCAAGGGAGATGGTAAAGTTGAAAATGTTGAAACCCTTGGCTCGCAGGGGGTATGGCAGAATTTCAACAGTGTAAGCAACGATCAACGGCGTAAACGCAATACTGGAAAAATGAGTTCAGTCACCAAAAAAAAAATGATTCAAAGCCATCGTTTCAGATACGCACTCGTAGCAAGCATAGTAAAGGAAAATGAATGCGATAACGCTATGTGCAGCGGCAGATTGTCCATTTATTTCGAATTGCGCGAATGCGATGGTTTGAGAGGTGAAGAACACGAGCATGCCAATACCAGAGAGGAGGAACATGAAGCGACGACCTAGTCTCTCGACCAAACTTGAAGCAATTAGAGCACATATCAAATTCCAGATGGCAAGAATTCCGTTGATGAGGAGCTAGATGATGATTGATAATTTCAAGTCAGGAGTTGAATAGATGTTTTTCCATGGTATGTGCATACCTGCGTGGTTGGATCTTTGATATCAATGTCGTTGAGGATCTGGTTCAGGTAGTATGATGCTAGACCGTTCCCGGACCACTGCGAGAAGAACGCGATGCCGATGATAATCCTCATTCGCTTTCGGTTCCCGGGTGTGTTGAACAATGATTTCCAGCCGACATTTGCCGCAACTGCAAAGTACCATGAGATGAAATCTTCCGTGATTGACGACACCGAGAATCTTACCTGTTCGATCGTATTCAATCGCAGTCTTGATTTCATTGAACTCGTATTGCACCAGAGGATCGTCACTAATACTTCTTTGAGATGGAATGACACTGAAATAATGAATGGAAGCGCACCGATTACCATCAGCGTGGTAGTAAGCAAGAACATTCAATGCTTGTTCATTCTTGCCTTTACTGAGGAGATAACGAGGCGATTCCGGAACAAAGAAAATCAGCAATACTTGAGCGACTGAAGGTAACCCTTGGAGGATCGAGGGTATCCGCCATGCCCATGTGCTGTTGATCTTGAATGTGCCAAATGTGGTCCAAGCCGCACTATGGAGATAAAGAGGCATGCATTGAATTACGAACTCGGGGACTGGGATTATGAAGTTGTCACTTACATGATAGCCCCAGAATACCACAGGGAGTTGTATGTGGCAGTTAATTGGGCTCGATATCGAGGATATGAGATTTCGGAGACCAACATGGGAGCAGCATTAGCTGAAATTGATGTCGTATGCTAGTTCGCATCGAGGAGGTGTGAAGAAGACATACCAGCGAAGGTAAGGCCAAATCCTATCATGAAACTGTTCGAAAATTCAGCGTCATCACAAACAGCTCTAGTGATAATTGGACGTACCGGGCTCCGACAAACATTCCTTCCGACTGTGAGGCACCTTGAAGAGCCGTAGCTATGCACATGATGAGAGCGCCAACGAAAATAGTAGGGCGACGTCCAATTCCATCGGAAAGGTAAGGAGCAAAGGGGTAAGCTGCTAAGGCACCAATGTTCTGCCATGATATTTGAACTCTCTGGACATACAACAGAGAAACAGCGAACGCACCTGAATAGCGTTGAGCAGCCCGAGTTGGCTGGGACTAGGGTGGTTGAAGTAGTCCTGCCATTGGCTCCTATAATTTCCTTTAGCATCGAGTTATCTCGAAGGAAGGAACAGCCTAACAAGGATTGAAGACCGTTCATCATGCTTCCATCATATCCATTAGTCGAGGACGTGATAAGCCTGTTGCATATGTCCATCAAAAGTGAACTTCATGAAGCCGAAAAAAGGTGACCCACAGTAAGAAAATCCATCCATTCAAAGCAATAAGCCTGCATAAATCTTTGAACACCTAGTGATGGACCTGGTAAAGCGTTTGAGCTTACCGCTTATTATTATACCATGTCTTTCTTGGGTCAAGAAGATGGTTAAGACCAGAATCGGTTGCGGCAGAGGCGACCACACCAGGAGCCATGATGGTAAACTGTTTCGAGTGAAGAACAGCGCGGTGTTTGGCGTGCGTAACTCTGGAATATATACCACTCTGTAGTAGTTTAAGGGAGTTCAAGGGCTACAATGGACAGGTGACTTAATCACCTATTTTTCCAGAGGTACACCGGAAAGAGTCCGCGTCCCGCGCTATCTGAGACTAACCGAGCCTTTCAATGTAAATTTGACCTAGGGATTTAGTTGCGTCCAGGTTCTGCCATCCAAGGACCTCAGAAACTGAATTTTCTCATACCGGCTCTCAAGGATCATGATATGATCTACTTGATTTCTGCCTTCGGTATCCAGACAAGTTAAACGGTCAACATTTGTACGAACCAGGCTGTGCGCCCGTAATGGTAATTCCCGAACATTCTCCGCAGAATCAAATCAAACTGTGCTAAAATAACATCTGGTCAAAGCTGCATTTACGCATTAAAGGTCCGTACGCATACCCCGGATTGGACCTAACAACTGGGCGAATTTGCAATGCGCTACGGGGGACTAAACCTGGAGAAACCTGGGGAAACAGGAGCTATGGGGTTCTATAGTCATAAGACGAGGCCCCGACTCCCGACGGCCCTCCAACCCTTTGAAATAATTTCTGGAATATCAAAAACATTTATATTACAAAAAATCAGATTGCGACACAGTAGTAAGGAATTAAGTCAATAGCGGAACAAGTAAATGCACTTTCGACACAGATCAGAAGTGTTTCAATATATCACTAGCCGTAGAGTCTGAGGGACGCAGAGAGCCTGCTACCGGGGAGTTCTCTATGGTCGTCGCATTGGCAGGATCGGCTTTCTTCCTGCTGAACCAGGAAGAATTCCAATATGATGTTGAAGATCTCGCAGGAGCCTGGGAGGAGGCAGCGATAGTCTCCGTATTCGTCAAAGGGGATGCCCTTGAGATATGCAACGAAGACGGCCGAGAACTCTGATGACTCACAGTCCTATTCCGAAAATGTTTTTTCAACGTACTGGCCATGTCTGACGGCGATCCCCTGGCGAAGGAAAAGCGGCATCGGTTCGTTGTGCACTCACACCAGCAGAGGAGGGGGACGAGACCAGATTTTGGTCCGACAAGGCCGTGGTCGGATTGGCTTTATTCGTCGAAGAGCCGGACGAGACGCTTCCGAACGGCGCAATACGACCGCCAGAAAATCTGGAAGTAGTCGATAGACGAGAAGCGCGCGAGCCCGAGCGTAAGGGGGATTGTGGACCCAAAGTCTGGGGTGAGCTAGCAACTTCGACTTGAGATGAAGGCGGAGGCGAAGAAGCGGGAGGGCCTGTTCGATTATCTAATATAGGGAACGGTTGTGGAGTCACCTCTGTGGCCGGTGTTTCAGGGGATGCTTGAGCTAGTAATCGTGATAATGAGGACGGTCGAGCATTACTAGGCGAAGAATTGGAACGAGTGCGAGAAGTGAGAAGTTGTGGAGAAGTTGTGGATGCCACCTGAAACGTATCCTCTACCTCTGGCTCAAGGGGACCTCGAGGTAGTGCTGGAGTGCTACTAGCTAGAGACGGCTTTCGGTCTGAGTCCGAAACGCGCTTCGAAACCTTACGCTTATCATGAGCCGGTTGGGTCCAGCCTTCGACCTCCAGCATATAGTATTTGACACCATCTCCCAGCGCATACGGATTGCTCGTGGGATCCTGATGATTCCATGAGAAACTGGATCTTCAAGCTAGCAAAGACTCACATCGCGGTCAACTACACGCTCGGTTATTGATGTTATGCGGGCTACAATCCATTCCCGTGTTTTTAATTGTTCCGCAAGATGCCCAGTGGCTTGCAAAAAGTAGTGCGGGAATGAAACTATGGGGTCGGGGAATATTCGGGAT